TCCCGCCCTGGGCACAGCCATGGAGTGCTCTCCCTGCCAAGCCGTGCTCGGACTATCTGTGGCTGCTGTCGCCATCTGTCCTCGTGGCTCTCTAGGGCTGTCTGTCTGTTGCCACCCCCATCCCTCTCCCGAATGCCCACTGGAACCCCGAGAAAAGACATCTGGGAGGAGGGGTGAGAACTTGAGTCTCAACAAAACGTAGCAGGTGACTTGTTGAGCTTTGCGTTCATGCACTATGTGGATGGACAGTGCCTTTCCCTGCCTTGTCTTCCATCCCTTCTTTCTCACCCAGAGCCTAGATTTTCCCCAATATCTCCAGGAAATCTTCTCGTCTGTGCCAGTGGCCTGAGCAGAGCATGTTGGGCTGGGCAAATGATAACTGTGTTATCACAGTCTTGGCCCCTCCAGACCCAAGTGAGCAGGTGCTTTAGAGGCCGGGCCCTTGGAAGCTCCCTCCCGTTCCTCTGCTTTATTGTCTTGTACAAAGGATTTCCCAGCACTGTAGACAAAGTCCCCCTTCCATCTCTGTACCCATCCTCCCGAGGTGACTGGCTCATTTGAGAACCTGGGTCCCACGGGGCAGGGGTGGATGTCTCTTGGCCATCCTGTACCACTGAGATTCTCTTTCCCCAGCACAAGCAGGTGAGGGAGCTCTAGGCAAACTGTGTGTCCTCCAGGGTCACACCTCAAGGTCCACTCCTGCCTTCTTGCTGATCTGGACCACAGTCAGCACCTCCTTGTGACTACCAGACCTCCCACCCCATGGCTCCGACATCTAGCCCTCCAGCAGAGACAGTCTAGTCTCAAGCCACCCCGGTGGGAACTGAAGAAGCAGACAAGGGCTGGGTTGGGACCACTGTCCTTAAAAGTAAGAGTGAGACCTGCCTCTCCACCAAAGGACTCAGCCCAGGCTAGAGCAGATGGGCAGCCCTGGAGGGAGGACGGCCAGCTCTCCCCAGGCTCCCCATGCCTCCTCCACGTGCTCTCCTACTGCTGCTCTCATTCAACATGTCGTGTTCTTTTTTCTTCATCTGACCACTGAATCTGGCGATACGATGTGTCTAGGCCTGAGATGCTTGCATATGTTAAAACACCAAAGTGGCAGGAAGCTGCTGTCAGGCTGTGTGCGGGCACCTGGTCTCCAAGCAGAGAGAGGGTAGGAGACTGCCCAGGGCCACCAGCACCCCCACGTCGTGGACACCGTCCAGAGCCGTGCTCCCTGAAAGGGATGTCCCAATAACTCTAGGCGCCCTGGGCCACGGTGGAAGCCTCCCTCCCAGGTAATCTACGGAGTCCAGAGTTTATTGCTTCTTTTTGTGCTTGATTTTGAACCTCTTGGATGAGGGAGCAGTGCTAGATACCCTGGGATCTCTGGAGTTGAGACCATTTGCGGATTTCATAAGTGGGTTCCGTGGTGTGGGCCGCAGGATCGCCAACACTTACCCTTCCTATGGTGACTTGTCTGCAGGCACCAGGAGCAGCCCCAGAAGAGATGTTTGCCCCTCTGCCAGGGCCCAGGCATCAGGGGCTTTGTTAGCCGTATGGAGAAGCGAAGGGCCCTTCAGAGGCTCTCGGTGAAGAAGCAGCCCTGCCCGGCCCTTGGACGGCTTGGCTGTGTCTTGCAAGATGCAGTCAGTGTTAGAGGCCCATCCACAGTTGGTCTCCTGGCTCCACCTGGCAGCAAGGAGCTGCTTCTGAGAGTTTTTCTCTCTCTCCCTCCCTGTTGGGTGCAGGGGAGCCTAAAGCAGAGGGGTTTCTTTGATTTGCTGCATGAGAGGTGATTTGCAATGACAAGCTTTACTTTTGGAAGGGTTTCTGGTGACCGATTGCTGCTTATACCATAGAGCAGTGACGTTTTGTTCGATCTCTCTTCGTATGCACTTTTCTTCGGGACCACAGCACGCCAGGGAGAGGTGGGTGGGGAGCAGGACCTGCAGTTGCAGGAGACTGGTCTCCACAGGTTAGAGAACAGCCTCTCTTCCCTACAGAACAATTTCATCAACCTCAGCTTTCTCCTCCTCTTCCGTGCTGCCCGGCTCATCAAGTTGCTGCACCAAGGCTACACCATCCGCATCCTGCTGTGGACCTTTGTCCAGTCCTTCAAGGTGAAGCCCAGGCATGCCCCTTGTGCCCTGACCCTCCCCTGTGTGATGCAGAGTGCTGTGGCCACCAGCTCTTCCTGGCCACCAGAGCAGCCCCTCCTCGTGGAGGCTCCTTGTTGGCACCCATTATCCTATTGTAGTTTACAAAGACATTTTAAGTGATCCAGAGAGCATCTTGGTAATGCTCACTGACTCTGAGTTGGGTTCTATGACTGATTATAGACGAAGGAACTGAGGCGGTCTCTTGGTGGAGGGGCTTCACGGTCAGTGGGGTTGGATTTGCAGTCACTGGGGTCTGGGTGGCCCCAGAGACCCGGCCCCTGTCCACTCTGCAGACGAGGCCCGAGCAAGGTAGCTGGGCAGCCCTCCCTGGAGCTGCCCTGTCCTCTGTATGATTCCACAGGCCCTGCCCTACGTGTGTCTGCTCATCGCCATGCTGTTGTTCATCTACGCCATCATCGGCATGCAGGTGGGTGCGCCTGATGGGACAGGGAGCAGAAGGGGGGGCCCTGTGCCCTGGGGCAGAAGGGCACTGATCATGATCATCAAATGGTATCAATGACAGATTGGCACTTGGGGAACATTTCTATGTTTGAAGCACTTTGTGAACGTAATTCTCAGAAAGGCTGTTCTACCGATAAGGACACGGAGGCTGGGCACCACGGGTTTGGGCCTGTCACCCAGAGTCCACTAGTGAGGCGTAGCTCCACCGTCTGTGGGAAAATGCTCTGCTGTGCTCCTCAGTGGAACCCCATTGGGCTGTTAGGGTGTTGATGGGCATGTTTGATTGGGTTCCGGGCCCCCATGTTGGTGGAGTTTTAGCACATCTGCCTGGTGCTGAGTGGCCTGCAAAGCACCCGCTGGTCATTCTGTTAGTCCAGAGAGTTAACCTGATCCTGTACAGGAAATTATATATTACAGAAGAAAAAATTCAACAGGATCACACCAGATCACTGTACTGTCAAGTTCAGCTTGGATAAGTTAGATTGCCTTTATTTTGCCAAAGAACCCTTTGTCAGCTACTTGGAAAAACATTTAAAAGACAAAGTAGTGTTCCAGTTTTAAATCTTTGGCATCTGGCCACTTTTCAACAGTAGGATGGGAGATGGATCCAAAGTTAAATTATAGTGGGAGAAGCCATTGTCTTAAAGGTTAGCTGAAAAGTGATTTTTAAACTCTATTCAGGGATTGAAAAGGTTCTCTTCCTTTAAAATTTGCTGAGATCTGATGCTATTTAAAAATATATATATATTTGTGCCTGCTTTGGTTTGGGAATTTATAAGACCAGAAGGGTCACTGATCTTTGTTTTTGGTGAATATGTGATAGTTCATAAATTTTTCAGCCAGATTCCAGATTTTAAGCCAAGTACAGTTACTGACTTGTTTGCATTCCTAACTCTAAAAATAAATCAATTAAAATGGATAAAAAGCCCATTGTGATATTTGCACAGAAATTTAGAAAGAAACTTTCGAGTTGACCTCATAGCTAATACCAATAAAATTACTGCTTCAGAGTCATTGATGACAGGGTGAAATTTCAAATGCTTCCTGTCTTATATATAGCACAGCCCATGTAAACTTAGCTCCGGGTGGCATTTTTACTCGGCATGCGGACTTGCAGGTGTAGACATGCGGAGCTGGGGGGGGGGGCAGTGACGTGTTTGGCTGGAAGTGCTGGCTCCTCCAGCCCCTGCCGCAGTGGTGGTGGCTAAGGGCAGCGTCCTGTGCCTTGTGGGTCCTCACGTGCACACATCCTCTTCTGCCTGGCCACAGCTCCTGAGAGCCCAACAGGACCAGCCTTGCAGCCTTCTCTCTCATTTCAGGTTTTTGGAAATATTGCCCTGGATGATGACACCAGCATCAACCGGCACAACACCTTCAGGACGTTTTTGCAAGCCTTGCTGCTGTTGTTCAGGTGTGTTGTTTGGGGAGTCAACGAAGGCTCAGAGGCTCCTCCGTTCAGGAGGGACAGGGCATGTGCCGACCCAGAGGGCCACCCCCTCCGACCCCAGCTCGTGCTGGCTTCCCCTCAGTGGGCCTTCCCAGCTTCTTCTCTCCTCTTCCTCCTTCCTTCCCTAAGGGTTCCTGGGCCTCGGGACAGATGGAAGGGAAGTCCATGAGGGAGGTCAACCAGAGAGCCCCAGGTGAGGCTGGCCTTGACCACCTCAGCTCAGATCCCTGGGGGTGGCCAGAAGGCCTCAGGTGATGCTGAAGCCAAGGGTCTGGGAGGACAAAAGGTGTCCACCAGGGCCTTTTTCTGTGTGCTGGCCATAGGCTTTCCATCTGCTCACTTTGGTGAGTGCAGGGTCTGTGGGATCGGGGCCTGGGGCGTGGGCAGGTCAGGGCAGGGGACACAGACTGTGCTACTCAGGGACCCAAGGAACTCAACTGGCCAGAGTGAGTGCCTCCACCTGCCCCATGGCTCACAGGACTGCAATTCCCTATGCTCCAGGTTCCAAGGCAGCCAGAGTAGCTTGTTTCTGGCTCAGGCGCCTCCCTGTGTGCTCGACAGGGCTGCATATCAGTTTTTATTCCGAGACGTGACACACTCCCTGTGGCCCATCCTGGTTTGGGGGCTGTGGGGAGGGGGTGAATGTGTCTCACTGCCTCCAGGGTCCCCTTCGTTAAGGCAAGCCCACCACATGACCCTAGGAGGGAAGAAAGGAGCTCTTTGTTGGGAATTGTGGAGGAGGGGTGCTGACATAAAACCCTGCCTGGGGCGCTTTCTTGAGGTGCCCACACGTGTGTTTGTTTATGCAGATGCACCAGGATGCTGTAAGACCTGTGCTGGGAGATGCCCAGCACGGTTAATCCCAGGCAGATGCATTCCAGGGTCCATGGAGGTTCTTCGTTTTATGGAGGGAGATCAGACCGATCTGCTTAGCTAAGCTGCCTGGAGAGAGTTGTCTGACTCTTGTTTTTTTAATCAGATGGACAAGTATCCTTAGGCCTACACTTTCTCCAAATGACATCATTTTTCTGGACATTAGCTATTACGTTCATTTCATCTCTTCATTTATTAATGTCCTGCCTCGTGCTATAAGAGTTGAGGCAGGCCTATGAAACCAGCCTCAGTTTTAAGTCTTTGTTCTCAAAGATCTCTTTTCCTCCCTGGTCTCTGTGTCACGTATGAGCACCAGTATCAGTCAGGCTTGGCATTGGACCACTGCCCTGCAGGAAAAGCCCCCTACTCCTAGCCATTGTTAATGGGAAGTGGGCTCCACTTGTGCCGAGAGCTGACCATGCAGGCACACCCAGTGTCGGGGGGTGGCCCAGTCCTCTGGTCTGCCTGCAAGTCTAGTGCACATCTGGCCTTCGTGCTGGCCGCAAACCCAGGGACAAAATTCCATGAAGAAATGTCTTCCAGGATGGCCACTCAGGCTGGTGGGGCTATTCTTGGTGTGTTCAGGAAACAGCAGACGCTGGTGTGGCCAGAGTGGACTGAGGAGAGACCACAGGGAAAGAGCAGGCTGCGAGTTTCACAGAGCTGTGGGCAGTTGTGTGAATTTTGGCTTTTGCAGTGCGTGAGGGGTCATTGAGAGGAAAAGTGACCTGATCTCACCTGTGTGTAGTGGACCCACTTGGCTGTTGGGTGGGGCAGAGCAGGAAGATCCGTGAGGAAGCTATTGCAGCAGCTCAGGGGAGGTGGTTGTTGCTTAGCCCAGGGTGCTGAGAAGTGGTAAGAGTCTAGCTGGTTTTTGAAGGTAGATGAGCTGATGAAGCTGGTGAGAAAGAATGGAGGCAGGGATGCCTGCAGTATATTTGGCCTAAGAAATGGGATGGAGCCCCCATTTCTTGAATCAGGGAAGGCTAGGATGGCACATGCTGGGTGAGGGAGGCCAGGAAGGGCTGTGTTGGCTTCGAGGTGCCAGAGGTCCATGAGGGGGCGCTCACCATAGTGCTGACTTTTGGTGCAGTGCCTTGTTTTCAGTAACTAGTTCTTTCCGAGTTAATGATCAATTTGAAAATCTAATGCCAGAGGATTCTTTTTAAAAAGTAGGCATCTCTTACCTATACCTTACGTATGAGTGGGTTGTCTGTGGGAGGGAGCCCAGGGAGGGTATGCACTTGAGCCAGCTCTTCTGAGATTTCTTCTCAGGCTGGCCTGGGCCTTCCTTTGTGGGTCTCATGGCTCTGCCCTTCTTCTCAGGAGTGCCATTGCGGAGGCCTGGCATGAGATCATGCCGTCTTGTCTCAGCAACCAGGCCTGTGATGAGCACGCCAATGTCAGTGAGTGTGGGAGCGACTTTGCCTACTTCGACTTCATCTCCTTCATCTTCCTTTGCTCCTTTCTGGTAAGTCCTGGTCACTGTGTCCCTGTGTCCACCTGTCTCAATCCATCCCAGACCCCTCCTCCATTTCTCACTGATACCTGATACTGATTCATGGCACATTACAAGTGGATTCTGTGTCGATGGTCCTGTTTCCACAGAGACGATGACCTCTAAAAGGACCCACTCTGTCATGAGCTCCTGTGGGCCTTGCCTTTCCTTCTCAGAAAGGGTTTTAAGTTTCCACGGGACAACTGTCCTTTAGTCTTTAGCCTCTGCCATGGTGATGAGTTACAAAGAAGCAGCACTCCAGCTGGTGTGCCTGGGGCAGATGAGCCTCAGGAAACTGGTTTTTGGGGCAGTAAGTGGACTAGGTCCAGGTCAGCAGAAACCTCTGGGAAACTTTGAGCAGGGGCATGACACAATCTGGTTGATACTTTAAAACCTTGCTCTGGCCTCTGGTCAGGAGAGGCTGGAGAGTGGTCAGGAGATGGTTGGAGGTGACATTCCCTAGAGAAGGGTGGGGATGAAGGGAGTTGAGCTGCACTTTAAAGACAGAGCCAACATGACTGATGAGTAAGCACAGGCATGAGAGAAAAAGAGAAAGAAAGCCGCACCTGCCGTTTGCTGGGTGCTGGAGAAACAGGCGCTCGTTCACGCCAGTGAGAATGTGACGAGGTGCAGCAGCTGTGGAAGACAGTATGGTAGCTCCTCAGTAAACTGAAAATAGAATGGCAGTATAATCCAGCAACTCCACTTCTGGGCGTATGCCAGAATTGAAGATAGGGACTTGAATAAATATTTGTACACATACGTTCATAGCAGCATTATTCACAATGGCCAGGAGGTAAAAGCAACGAAAGTGCCCATCAAAAAGTGATTGGTACACAAAATGTGACATGAACATACAAGGGACTATCATTCGGCCTTAACAAGAGAGGCAGTTCTGGCCCATGCTTCAATATGAATGAATCGTGAAGTCATTATGCCAAGTGAAATAAACCAGTGACAAAAGGAAAAATAACTGTATGGTTTCACCTATCTGAGGCCCTCGAGTGAAGTTCACAGAGACAGAGAGTAGGATGTAGGATGGTGGGTGCCAGGGACTGGGGGAGGGGTGAGAGTTAGGGTTTAATGGGGTCAGG